GGGCTGTCTATTTTTACAATCGCTAAAAACAAATGAGACTCTTTGCTCCTCCGGTTTAATATAAAAGCTGTTCCGCAGAACCAGAAAAACCACAAAAATGTCATGTTTTTGGCAATAAACCTCCTTTCATGTTATGACAGACTTTTGAGAGGGAGCGAGCAGAATAGGAGCTGCTATTAAAGTCATATTTTCCAGCTTTTCTAACCCGACTTCTTCCCCTCCCCAAGCACACAAAGCACAAAGAAGGCCTACAGCTCCGACTTCGCCAAGGGGGCCCCCGGCCGCCACCACCCCTGGGGGTCCGGCAGCCACCCGCGTGGGGCACAGCCCGCCCACCCCTTCGTCCAGGACCCCGCCATGCCCCCGCTCACGCCGCCCAACACCCTGGCGCAGCTGGAGGAAGCGTGCCGCCGCCTCGCCGAGGTCTCCAAGCCGCAGAAGCAACGGTTGTGGGGCTGGGCCATGGGGACGCGTGACGGCACAGCTTGGCCAAGCCCCAAGGATGAGCCTCCTTCTTCCAACCCCACCCTACCCCGGCGCAAATAGTTCGAATCCTAGGCTATTACTTCCACTCTTTTGATGGCTGTAATTTGCCAATTTTCCCTCTGGGATGGACTCCAGCTACATACCAAGAGGAGAATTGGACTGGTTATCGTTCATTTGGGGGGACGCGTGACGGCACAGCTTGGCCAAGCCCCAAGGATGAGCCTCCTTCTTCCAACCCCACCCTACCCCGGCGCAAATAGTTCGAATCCTAGGCTATTACTTCCACTCTTTTGATGGCTGTAATTTGCCAATTTTCCCTCTGGGATGGACTCCAGCTACATACCAAGAGGAGAATTGGACTGGTTATCGTTCATTTGGGTATGGAGGGATAAATTAGCCCACAGCATTTTTAATTCTTCCTTTGATTGTTTACAACATGTGAGGGTTGATACAAAGAGCGAACTTAACGACCCACAGGAGACTTCAATTAAGGAGATTGTATTTCAACAATTTTTTTTTTAAAAAAGTCTTATTTTTTTTCTTCTTCTTCTTCCCTACTTGCCCTCCCCCTCTCCACTTCAGATGTTCAACCTCAAATCAGCCGAGGGATCGAAACCACTCCGCTGCCGTTCCGGGGGGAAACACCCCTTTCTGCAATGCAAGTCTAACGACAGAAGAGTGAGTACTGCGCGCGCGTAAAAGGATTGGGAAATATATATGTATATCTCCTCATAATACTTTCATTAAATGGGTTGTGCTTTGAAAAGAAAGGAAATTCTTACATCTGAAATTTCGTCTTTCAAACATTCTTCTTAAAGAAAGAACAAAACATTTTCAAATCTTGTCTCTGGCTCTTTTTAACTTGCATTCCTGTAAAGTGGACAAAGATTGGATTAGTCTAATTACAGGATGGTTCTTTTAACAAGAAATCTGCTACAGAGAGGTCTAAAATGGCCTAAATAATTAAAGTTTTCTTTCTTACCCTCTTCATCTTAAGCAATGAGTAATGTTTGAAGTCCAGACTGAGCCACCTGACTAGAGCCTTTCATTTTTAATTGGTTGACCTTAAGTCCACCAGCTGTCTTTGCTAGCAGCTCTTTTTCTGAAGCCACTCTACAAAGACTTAGAACAAATTAGGAAGACTAAATTACTGCGGACTAACACTTTGTGACCTTTTGACATGCCAAGTGTACATTGCCTCAGAAGCAGTTGTAGATTTGGCTGCATGGCATTCACTAGAGCGTTGCCATTTTGCTGGGCAATATTGTTTTAATTCTTCTTTAAGAAGGGTTTCTTAGTGCAGATGACAAGATCCCAGGTAGTTTTATCCTCACCGTGGGGGGAAAATAAGATTACCTGTGTGCTTCAGGTGAAGAACCTGGTGGTGGTTTTGCTTTGTTAGCTGCTGGAGGTTGCAGGTGGTTTTGTGCAGGAGAAGGGAGCGTGGCAGATGCTTTGGATGAAGGCAGATGAAAGGAGCCTTTTAAAATCAGAAGGGTGCAATAGTGGGGCTCTCTAGGTAAAGGTTGGCCCATGGTGAGCCCTACGCACGCTCATCTGGCCCGCAGTCCTGCTCTGATGCTTCCAGCAAGCATCCAACCTCCAGCCTTCAGTTTTCCCATCCATAAAATGGGTTGAAGGCTTTGCTGCCTGCAGGCGCTTTGCGATGCTGAGGCTCCCACCATCACCATGAGCAGGAGCTGCTCCAGCAAAGGGCTGTGCAAAGGCAACGTGACAAATTCACAGCAAGAACAGGGATATCTGACTTCTTGGGTCACGCCTAGGATATTTCTGACCGGCAGAACACTGCTGCATTGAGTGTGCTCAAACAGCTTGTTCTCAAATGGAAAAATAGAGGGGTTTTTTTGTGTGTGTTTTCTGTTTTTCAGCCACAAAGAGCCAAAGAAACTGCCAGTTGTTCACACCTCTCAGTCGAGCGAGTTGGTTGTCACCTATTTTTTTTGCGGAGAAGAAATTCCCTACAGGAGATTGTTAAAGGCCCAGAGCCTGACACTTGGGCACTTTAAAGAGCAGCTGAGCAAAAAAGGAAATTACAGGTAAGAAATTGTGATTTGTTTGTTCTTTGGTGTATTATAATGTCAAAAGAATCAGCAGATGTTTCGCAGGTCTACCCACAATGATGCTTTTACCTCGCCTTTTGGATGCTGTAGGTTTTATTCTCTTCCCACTCAGACCAAGAGCAACGTGGGGATGGAGAAAGTGGCCCTGAGCTGCTGCTTGGCCAAGTGGGCACCTCCTCTCCATCTCCCTCCCCATTGCATAAGGATGCAGGCTCCAACCCTTGTCCAAAATCTTGACTACCAGGAAAAGCTGGAGTGGCCTTGGGGCAAAGGCATGGAGCAGTGCGGTTCAGTTTCCAAACTGGGGTCAGCATTCATCCTGGTGCTGGCTTTCTGCTTGTCTTTGCCTTCTCATTTAACTTTTTTGGGTTTTATTTTTGGGTTTTTTTTCAATGCTGTGGCCATAAAAGGTTGGGTTGCATCTGGGTGGATGTGCAGCGAACTCGCTTTTCTCTTTGTTAAGGAAAAAAAAACCTCTGCCCTGCAGGGAAAGCTCCACCAGCAATACCCAGTTCCTCCTCAGAAACACCAACAAACCCTGCCTGTCTGGTTCCCAGGGCCCAGCCCCCAGTTTAACCAGTTTGCTGCTTCCCTCTGCTCTTCTAGTTCCCATGGCAGCTGTCTTATTTTTTGCTCTACTTTCCTAGCAGATCTGGGTGCTAGTGGGATCATCTGTTGGCCACTTCTTCCATGGGGTGAGCAGGAAAGGGATGGTCCAGCTTTACATTTGGAATTTGCACTGAATTTGGTGCTTTTTCAAGGAGCCAAGAGCCCTGCCCTGTAGTGGCAGCCTCTGATTTAACTCCCAGATGGCCAATTTGGGTTTGGTAGGAGGACTCCAGCTGGTGATCCATCCCTGGCCTGTCTCTAGCATTGGGAAGCCAATGCTGACCAGAGGTAGGGTACCCAAGGGTGTGCTCAGGCTGGAGGATGCTGAGCTGGGCTCTGCCTGTGGCTGTTGCGCATTGGGGCTGAAATAATGCCAATTTGTTTCCCCAAAACCATCTTTGCAGCCCGCCCAGCTTCCATCAGATGGCAGCAACCTGCAAGTGCACCCAACCTGGACCCCCTCCAGGAGAGGTTCCTGGGCTTTTCCCACCCGTTGCACCATTTCCCAGCTCCTAAAGCCTCTCCTGGCCTACTCTGCTCCTCTTCCTCCAGTGTCATGTCCCAGTTGCAGACCAGTTTCCCTGGCCTCACCACTGGTCTGTCACTCCTTCAGTGCCTGTGTAGTTGTGTGTCCCTCCCACCCCCCCAAAAAAAAAATCCTTATTTTTAAATTTGTTTGTTTTCTGTGACATTTTTTTGTGTGATACCTGAGTACAGAAATAGGCTCCTAAAAAAAAAACCACCTCTGTGGCCCGAAAGCCCCTCCAGGTGCAATTATTTGTGCCTTGTCAGGCTGTAATTACTTTGGAAAATGTTTTTTTAAGTGACTGACAAGGATGAAACACCGTTTTGCTTAGATCTCACCCCTTTACACCTGGGTAAAGACAATACAGAAACCTATAAAAGGCACTTGGGTACGTGCCCAGTATTTTATCTCGCGCAGACACAAGGTGAAACTAATTACACAAATGCGCGTACCTCCAGGGAATCATTTTGATCTCAGCTTTGACTTTTGGCTGGACTTTGAGTGAAAACTGCGGGTGACCTTCAGGGAAGAGGGCCGCAGTGCCCGGAGTGTGTGTGTGTGTGTGTGTGTGTGTGTGTGTTACGGGGAGGCACTAACTAGGCCGCTTTGGTCACATCTGGCATTGATTTCTTTTTAAGGCGCATTTAATAAGCATGTCTTTGAAGCCGTTGCCTTTCATTTAATGCACAAAGACGCGCAGAAATGCTCCGCACTCCAAATTCTTCATTGATTGGATCAGTTTGCGAGGCGGGGTGTGTGTGTGTGTGTGTGTGTGTGTGTTACGGGGAGGCACTAACTAGGCCGCTTTGGTCACATCTGGCATTGATTTCTTTTTAAGGCGCATTTAATAAGCATGTCTTTGAAGCCGTTGCCTTTCATTTAATGCACAAAGACGCGCAGAAATGCTCCGCACTCCAAATTCTTCATTGATTGGATCAGTTTGCGAGGCGGGTACC